TAAACTAGACTTGATGGAGAACATGCCATAAAAATTTCATCAAAAAATTCCACCGGGAAGGCGGCCAAACGCCGCCGGCCGGACGGCGGCTCCTGTCCGGACGTCTGGACAGGATCTTTTCTAATATATATATATATATATATATATATATATATATATATATATATATATATATATGTATATATATATACATATATATATGTGTATATATATATATATGTATATATATATATATATATACATAGGGAAGAGATCATATGAGAACACCATCTAATGAGAGAAATGAGAACTAATCAGGACCATTGGATTAGTCAATTATTTCTTCTAATCTAATTATACGTACAAGGGTAACACAGTCATTCTATGTGACTTTCCTTCCCATTCAAAACGGTATGCGATCGTTTGGCATCCATCATTTATCGTTTCCATTATTTTGGTTCATGCTTTCCATATCTGTTTCCACCTCTATGGCGATCTCTCCTACGCGTCTTTCTTATCTCCGCCGCCCTCCATCATCATTAGTTTCGGATTTTTAATACAAGCCACCTCATCGAAGAAAATTTTGAATCCCAAATCGACTTCTATGTATCCATCACGGTAAGTCTTGTTAGTAATAATATTTATCATTGTATTCATCTTGTTATTAAGAATGATTATTGTTAGTAATTGTTTATTCATATGTGTTAATCGTTGAATTAATTTTGTAAGATTTCGATGCAACAATTGTTGAATTAATTTTGTTAGATTTAGATGTAGCAATCGTTGAATTGATCTTGTTAGTAAGAATATTTATTGTTTGTGGTCTTGTATTTGTTGTTTGTCTTCTGTTTTAACAGATCAGACGTTTCCACCATGTATTTATTCTTATCCTCTGGTTCGATTGTTTGATTTTTGAGCTTTATAATGATTTTAGTTTACTCTTCATTTGATCCATTACTGCACTATCATTGTTTACTTCATGCACTTTCATACATATTTTATGCACCTTTAACTCTATTTGTATATGATGATAAACACACTGCTTATTGAGCCTTCATACATTTAATTCATATTCTCTTGTGGTTTATTTGTTTTAGAAATTCTAATATTCTGTTATTGATTTAATTTTTAAGATAATAATAAAGATGATTTTCTATTAAACTTTGGCTAAACTTTTGATGCACTTACCTGCTTTGGTCATGCACATTCATTACTTTTTTTTCTTTTTGCAGATACGATGCAATATCAATGGAACAATTGTGATCCATTTGGAAGAGAAAGTGCATTTGATCTTGTAAAAGGTGTCAATGTAAAATTGTAGAAAATGTGATATAATAATGCATTTTGTATTTATTTCAAATGCACACAGTAAAAGTGCATTTCATTCTGTATAAAGGATGTATCTAGAACTTTAGAAAGTGTTATATAATGGTGCACTTCTCTATACATTTGACAAAACACATTATAGTTGTTAATTTACACCCTTGTATTCTTGCAACAAAAAGAATTACACCCTTGTATATTTATGCTCATTTATTTAAAGTTGTTTTTTGTTATAGAAAGTGCACACCTATATGAGTAGAAGTGCACAACTACACGAGTAAAGTGTAAATATATTTATGTTGAAAATGCAAACAAATGATATAAATTAATACTGCACTTAAAAACCGTGCAAATTGTCTTAATCAAAGTGTTATTTGATGGATGAAGTCGGCTATTCAAACTACTGAGAGTCCGAAAATATCCAAATATCCAATTAAATGGATGTTGCATAATGTTTCGCATAAAAGTGCAGATATTCGACTTTAAAGTGCAAATGGACAAACCTAGATTAATTCCACTAATGTAATATTGCATTTGAAAAAAGATTAAACATAAAAAAGTGCAACATTCGAATAAAGAATTTTTAAAATTAAACTAGTAATCCTAATTGTATGTGATATTAATCTGATACAGAAAGAAAATTAAATTAAAGTAAGTATTTATAAAAAAAATGCAATTCATTTTATAAAAAGTGCTTATATAGAATTTTATAAAGTGTGATATAATAGTGCACTTTTGTACATATATAATTGTACATGATTAGAGTGCATTTCATTTTTAAAAAGTGTTGTATAATTTAGAAAGTATGATTTAATGGTGCAGTTCTTCTATATAAATAAAATGCACATGATAGTTGCTAATTCACACCCTTGTATATAAATTTTCATTTTATTTAAAATCATTTTGATTTAAAAATGTATGAAAGTGCACATTTGCACGCCTAAAGTGCAATATAATAGGTAAAAAGTGCAAGCGAATAACATAAATGTGAAGCTTACCAAATTGCAGAGTAATGTAATAAAATGGCACTTCGTATTTCTCTTGAACTTCATTTCATTGATGAAGGTGTTGATTATTTAAATTAATATTTGCAAAAATCAAAATATTTAATTAAATTAATGTTGTATAAAATTTTGAATAAAAGTGCATCTATTTTATAATGGAGTGAAAAGTGTTTTAAATAAAAGTGCATTTATATAAAACTATAATGCAAACCTTTTTTACGTACTAATGTTGAATATTTATGAGAAAGTAATTTCATTATGCAATTTGAAAAAAGTACGTATTTTGAAAAAACAAATATAGGGAGTTTGATGTGGAGAATTACTCTTCCTAATTATTAGGCAATTTCCAACAAAAATCACGTATCACAGATTCACAAGTGATAATAAAAAAAATTAGTGCTTCAAAATTATTGTCTGTAATTATAGGGAAAGTTGGAGAAATAAGTGTGAATTTTAAAGAACTAGATGTAGACCATGTGTCTGTCAAAAAAAAAAGATATAGACCATGGGTACTCGTGTAGTGGTCCGTTATATTGGTAAGTGCCTTATTGCATCTTTTACTTAAATACCCTTTAGTGATTAAAACTAAAATCTTTCCTATTATTCCTCCCACCACGCGTCTAAAGCCTTCCGCATCTACATCCTAGATCTCTTTTTTTAAGCCGCACGATCTAACAATTGCGTGGATGGATTTAGTTCTTATTTCTCTCCTAACAGAGTGTTCTCACCTGAACCCTCCCCTATATACATACATATATATATGTATGTATATATATATATATGTATATATATATATGTATGTATGTATATATATATATACATATATATATATAGTATATATATACTATAGAGAGAGAGTATATAAAATTTTATATATATATATATATATAATTTCATCAAAAAATGCCACCGGGAAAGGCCCCAAATGGCCATGTTCGGACGGCGTTCGGACAAAAACGTGCTGGACAGGATCATTTCTCTCTCTCTCTCTCTCTCTCTCTCTATATATATATATATATATATATAAACTATAGTTTTTTCAACAAATTATTTGAATGCCTTCCCGATCGAATTTTATATGTATATATATACTACATTTTTTATATGTATATTTTGACGCAGTCAACTTCAACAAATTATTTGAATGCCTTCCCGATCGAATTTTGAGCTGAAATTTGGTATGGACAAATTAGACTTGATGAGAAACATGCTCAAAAAATTTCATCAAAAAATTCCACCGGGAAGGTCCCCAAATGGGGATGTTCGGACGGTGTTCGGACCAGGAATGTTCGGACCTGAACACTCCTCTCTCTCTCTCTCTCTCTCTCTCTCTCTCTCTCTCTCTATATATATATATATATATATATATATATATATGTATATATATATATATATATAGGGGTGAGTTCTAATACAAAGAGGTCTTCCCATGAAAAGTGAGAAGTGATCTAAGCCCTTGATTATTAAAAAATGGATGGTATAGATCAAAACTCACGACCAACCAAAATGTGTAATACATAATAGCAAAAGTGCATATGCAATACGTAAGACCATTTGGAGTGGGTGCAAGAGTCCAAATGTCAAAAATGGACTCCGTCGATATGAAAACAGTGTTTTGACTCCTATTTCTCTGCATTCCATCACCGTCAATAAAATACACTCTGGACATTTTTTACATATCAATTTAGTAAAACATTAATTAAATTATTATAAGTAATGTTTTATTTTTAATTGTTTTCTCTAATTAATCATAAAATAAAAAAGACACATTTTGATGTAAAAATAAATAAATTTCATTACTATTTTTTCCAGCAAAATTTTAATTAAAAACAATTGAAAAATAAAATAAATTATTTTAATTGTTGGATTTCAATTTCAGCCGTTGGATCAATCTTTTTCTCGTTCAAACAGTGTCCAAATGATCACAACCGTTTAAAGAATTGGATCTACCAATTCTTTAAAATAAAAAAGTCAGATGCCATTGTGAGTGCCACGTGACACAAGCATGACACCATCATGATGTCATGATATTAGTTTATATCCTGCTCACCATGCCGAGATGGCATCTTTTCCCTGCGCAACCAAACTGTCCGTCCCCACCCTTTTTACTTTTTCTTTTCCATTTAATTTTAGGGAGTCAACTCCACCCTTTAAATATAGAACCCTCCATCTCATTACCCATTTTTACTCCCCCACTTTGCCAACCACTACAAGGAATTAGGAGTCCAAAAATTCCACTTTTAACATTTTAGACTCCTAATCCTACACCACTCCAAGTGGTCTAATGGTGCACATTCAGCTACTAAAAAATATATCAGAAACAATAGTTATACTTCTTATTTTTTCCTAAAAAGTGATGCACTTTTGTGTTAGTCTAATGCACTTTTCCTCCGTAGTCATGCACATTTGTCACATTATTTTTAAAAAAACTTTTTGATAATTACACTTTTGACACCGAATTTTACCCTTAAAAATTGATCTCATCCACTCATTTTCTCATCTTAACGGTCAAGATTACTTCTCACTTTTCATATAAGGAGTACTTTTTATTTGAACCTCCCTCTATATATATATATAGAGAGAGAGAGAAAAGATCCCATGAGAAGTGTATGTTAGGCTGAAAAATGAGAAGCATGCTCCACCGTCAGATGAGTATACTCGACCGTCAGATCAACTCAAAACAAGCGCATCTCATTAATGGCAAATTTGGTAAATATTTCTTAATTTACATCCTTTTATTAATTGACCAAAAATTATTTCACACGGAGAATGAATTTGGGCTTCACTTCGCTCTCTCTGTCCCTGATCTCCTCCCTCCTCGCTTTCCATGGTTGTCTTGGATCGGTTGCTTCTGTTTCATCTTAATCCTGCGTTTTGATTTTAATTACAACCATCCACCATTGATTGAAATAGTGAGGAACAAGTTCATCATATCTGAAACACTCATCGGCGATATGCTTCATACATACGTAGAATGTCCAATATCTGGAAAATCATCAAGGCCGTTAATTTAGTCCAACTCCATCGAAGATATGATTCAAATTAAAATGATCAAGCCTCAATATTTGCTTTTAATAGAGTTTTTTCTCGGAATAATGATAATTAACTAAATAATTCCCAGAATACTGCTGGTTTAAAAATAGATTAACCGTGGTTAAAAAAAGCCGCAACTTGAAGTGGCGACTTTTCACTTGAGGCTTCACAAAAAATTAGGCAGCTCACGGAAGAAAGCTAAGACGTAATGCCAAAGTTAATGGGTCCCACCCAAATTAAAAAGTTCATGTTTTCTTTGAAGTGATGTAACTTTTTTATTTATACTCCGATTGTTGCAAAAAATATACCAAAATTCATAACTTTTTATTATCTTTCATACGACACCACTATTGAATATATAAATCAAAAAATAATTTAACACTTCGAAATTTTTTATTTGTATTCCGATTATTACAAAAAATATATCAAAATTAAATATTTTTTATAACCTTTTATAGGAAAGAAATGTTTCATTTAGAAAAATAAAAATAAAATCTATTCATTTGTTTAGTTTAGAATCATTTTTTACCATGCACACAATTTGATAGATTCTCAGAACTCTGTTTACTGGAAGGAAGAAAAGATCAGAAGAAAGAAGAGGAATAATCTGGCTGAAGCAAAAGTCTTCCTCAGAATTGTATTTACTGGAAGAAAAGAAAGCTTAGAAGAAGGTAGAAGAGTAGTTTGGCCAAAGTATCCACTCCGTTTTCCATCCTAGATGATGCCTATAAATAAAACTACATCATGGGAAATAACTGCTGCTATGTGGACACCACTATGCCCACTACAAGTAACTTCCTGTTGCTGCTTACAATTAGCTATACTAGGAATTATAACAATACTAAATAAAAGAACCAATATTAATAAAAGAAAGTAACGAGTCCTAATCCATATCATATGGGATTCCATCCAGCAAGCACTCTTCCTGTGTATGCTCAGTGGTTCATCACAATTAATCAAGAGTGATAGATTAAAACAAAATTACACAAACTCCATCACATTTATTTATTTATTACACGAGAATTTATATTGTTTTATTTCATATGACACCAATATTGAATATATAAAAATCTGGAGTGCATGGTAAAAACTATCCTAAACTACACAAACTAATAGATTTTCTTTTTATTTTTCTATATGAAACATTGGTTTCCTATAAAAGATAATAAAATAAATTAAAATTTGATATATAATTGTAATAATCGGAATACAAATAAAAATATATAGCACTTTAAAAACAGGAAAAGGATCCCATAAAATTGAAATGGTCTTAATGAAACTGAAGCTCATAACGGAAACCAAAATTAATCCAAGTAGGCCAAATGTTAAGATAGTCCAAGCTCATATGAACTTTGGACACAACCCAGGTAATCCCAGCGTAGACAATGGGTGAAATCTAACTAAGCAAGCTGATGAGAAGTCAGGAAAAGATGGAGAAGATCACAGGGAATGTTATTGAGCTCCAGAGTTCAGTTCGAGCCTCCTGCAACATCTTGAAACCAAATCGACCAACAAAAAAGCCAAACTTGAGAACAACCTTGTCCACGTGAGAGTTTAGAAGAGGTTTGCCAGTTGAAGAGCTTTGTATTAATTGAGATGATGTGCAGAGATCTCATTTTCCATTAGAAATTTGATGCTCCTGTGATTCACTAATACAGCAGCTAGGGGTGGACAAAGCCTAAATCTCATTTCCTAGACCGGACCGGGAGTTTAATGGGCTGTTCCGCGGTTCTAGGTAGGGACCATCGCCGAACATGTTGGTTACCGCTTACAAGGTACCAGTCTCGGTTGGGTATTTTGGGAACCGAGAACGGTCGCTTCAATCCCGAATGACTCTTTCATCCCTCTTTTTTCCTATTGGTCTATGTTGATGTATGACGTAGAGTGTTGCATAGTGAAATAATGTCACATTCAAAGGATGAGTGTGGTTGAGATCTGCATGTTACAATGTGTGTAGACATATTAAAATGTCTATTTGATGAATCAAACTAGGGATGGACTCGGACCGGGCGGCCCGACCCGGAACCGGCCCAGCCCGGCCCGGGAACCGGTGGGCCCAGCGGTTCGGGTCGAACTGGCCCGGCCTTTTGGCGGTTCGGGCTCGGGCCTATGTTTTGGTGAACCGGCCCTGCCGGTTCGGGCCGGATTTTTTTTTTTTTTTTTTAATTTTTTTAAAGTTTTGGGTTGGATTAGGTATTTTGGGCCATTTGAGGTGGTTTGGGGTGGTTTGGGGTGGAGGGAGAGGGGTAGGGGGTTAAATAAGAGAAGAAGAAGAAGAAGAAATTAAAAATCCGGGTGGCCCGGCCCGGCCCAGAACCGCCGACCACCGGTTCGGGCTCGGGCCTCATTTTTCTGAACCGAGGCCCGGCCGGGCCTAGGCCCGAACCGGGCCCGAACCGGTCCGAGGCCATCCCTAAATCAAACAATCAGACAAAATGTGAAAGTATCACCTGTTAAATATAAGATGTGAGGGTCTCGATTGCAGTGATTTGATCATATGCATAGAAGACTTAGTGATGCACTTGTTAGACAAGTTGAGAAATGAGGAGAAGAGGTGAGGAGTAGGCAGGGAGCCGGGTCGGTCCGACCCAGTTTGGTCCAGTACCTGTTCTGGTCCGGGTCCAAACAGTACCGATCCTGGGTCGGTATCCACCCATTTTATTTATTTATTTTAAAATAGCCATTTGACCGGGACCGGGCCAGGCCGATCCCAAAAATGCAAGCCTGAAACCTGACCCTTTTTACTAACGATCCGGGTACTGGACCAGTATCGGTCCTGGAAAACCGGTCACGCATCACCCCAGTCCAGTCCATCCCTAGTGAGGAGGAAAAGGAAAGGAAGACTCAAACAGACGTGGCTTTAAAAGTCATGAGTAATAGAGTAATATGCTTCTTCTTGAGTTGGATGAAAGTATTACTTTGAACATTGCAAAGAGCAAAGTGGAGAGAGAATTTTTCATGTAAGGGATTCATCTTTTTCATCCTTTTATTCTTTTTAACTCTTTTCTTTTCTTTTTATGTTATCATTTTTTGCTTTATACTATCTTTATCCTATATTTTTTTATCTTTTTTTCTCATCTTATCTTTTTATCTTTCTCGTCTTTTTAACTCATGTTTCATTTGGCGATTCATGAATCCCCTAAACTCTTTTGTGACCAAGTCTTGGATGTTGTTTCCTATTGGCTACGACAATATATGTGTTGGTGGGGCATTGGAGCCTCTAACTCTTACGACCCTTGGAGGGGATAGGGAGCGGGGGGCAGGGGTTAAAAACCAATGGTCCGAAAGGCTAAAATACATTCTTAGATCGAACATTAATCACATCATTACACACTAGGGGGATGACAAAAATGGGGAAAAACAGAGACCACTAGTGTCATCAACTTCTCATCTCCGCAATCGAATAAGACCATGCAACTGACTAATCTACTCACAGATGCTCATTTTAGGAAACTCTGACGCTTATATATATATGCTCTGAGGAAAGCTGAAGCATAATGCTTCAAGCATTCATGTCCTCTATATGTTACCCAAATCACATAACTGCTACATCGGATCTTTTCAGAAATCATGCACTAAAGCATTATTTGCAATGGAGCCAAAGATTCATTATTTTTTGGCTTGAGAATATGATGGAATAAAGCAAAATGGCTCACTAAACTGCCTGTGCTTCTTTGTTATGAAACAGCAGTCAGTCCATGCAATTTTGGACGCGATTTTCACTATGGGTCATCCGGAAACAGTCGCTTTGTGCTTTAGTACATGGGTAAGACTGCGTACATCCGACCCCCCTTACCCCACCATAGGTGGGAGCCTTTGCGGCACTGGGGTAAATGAAAATGAAAATGAAAATGAAATGATGGACTAATAATAATGGTGGCATAATGTGCATAATCATCAATAATATAATCCTCAACTTCATTGACATCATTCTCGTTCCTCAGGACTAATTAATTCCCTACAGTTCACATTACACCAAAAAAGGGTTGTATGTACTGAAAAATGAAAAAAAAGGGGGACCTGTGGGAGGCTTACCAGACAAGCTACTAGCAAGCAGACCATTTCACAGCTACAGTTGCAATTTTCTGCAAATTTAGGAACATTGCCATGATCTTTTCCAGGCCTTCTTCAAATGCCCACCAGTCCCTAATCTGTAAAATTGCTAACAACGAGAAGGTCAATTTCTATATTACTTCTACACCCACCGATGAAAATATGGTGTTGCTTGAAGAAGTGTTATATTCAGAGTAGAAAGAGAACTTAAGGGCCATCAGAAAACTGGGGGCTGACTTGTTCTCGTCTTTTAGATTTAAAAAAATGAATAGAATATAGAAGAGTGCATACACACAGATTAAATATCTTCTAGAAGAAGTTTTGGGTGCAAATGCAGCTACCTCGGGCCTCACTTCTATAAAAGGTTAATGTGGGAAATTCAGCAAACCGTCATCTGTACTCTTTCTGCCACCAACAACACCATTTCATTAGCACTCAGATCTGCATTTCACTAATTCTTTCTTTATTTCACTGGGAAAGAATTTCAACTTATTTTGATCAATAAGCCTACTGAAAGCCAGGACAGATAATAATTTAAATATAACGAAATTTATCATATTAATACACCTAATGACATTATTTCCTTGAAGTATGACTGTATGAGGAATGCCTCAATTTCACTAATGAACTTAGCTAGATAGAGATATAGAGGATTACCAGTTTGTTCTTTATATCCATGATAGTCTCCTCTTTTTGTTTAGCATAAAGCTTCATCGACTGAAATTGAAAAGGATCAAACAGTCTTAGTTCAGTACTCGCATAAATAATTAATTAAACATAGATCAGTTTTTGGGAAAATCCTGTGTTGAAATATGAACTAGAATGATAATAAAGATGGAGAGAAGGATTTTATGTGTATTTCATTGAAGGGTTAAGTCCATATAAATATACATTACAAATAGAATATTCCTATACAAGATTCTATACAATAATAATATCCTAAAGTATATTCCTAGAATATTCTGAAGTATATTCTAATATTCTAAAGTATATTCTATATCTTTCACACTCCCCCTCAAGTTGGAGCATATATATTTATCATGCCCAACTTGTTACATAAATAACCAACTCGGATCCCATTTAGTGCTTTAGTGAACAAATCTCCAAGTTGTTCTCCAGTCTTCACATATCCCGTAGAGATCAATCCTTTTTGTATCTTCTCTCGAATAAAATGACAATCAACCTCAATATGCTTTGTTCTCTCATGAAATACTGGGTTGTTGGCAATGTGTATGGCAGCTTGATTATCACACCACAATTTAGCAGGCATTGGTGCTTCAATCCGATTTCACATAATAAATGGCCTATCCATATGATCTCACATGCAGATTGTGCCATAGCTCGGTATTCTGATTCGGCACTCGAACGGGAAATCACACTCTGTTTCTTACTCTTCCAGGATACTAGGTTTCCTCCAACAAAGACACAATACCCCGAGGTAGATCTTCGATCATCTTTAGATCTTGCCCAGTCAGCATCAGCAAAACATTCCATTCTCATGTGGTCGTGATTTTGATAGACAATCACGCGTCCTGGTGCTCCCTTCAAGTAACATAATATATGTTCTACAGCAGCCCAATGGTCAATGGTCGGAGATGACATATATTGACTCACTACGCTCACAGAGTAAGCAATGTCTGGACGAGTGACTGCGAGATAGTTAAGCTTTCCAACCAATCTTATGTACCTTTCTGGGTCTTCGAATGGTATGCCTTCTGAAGTGAGTTGCACATTGGGAACCATGGGAGTTGTGTTTGGCTTTGCTCCCAATTTCCCTGTGTCAGTTAGTAAATCAAGTACATATTTACGCTGAGATAGAAATATGCCTTTCTTACTCCGTGTTACCTCAATACCCAGAAAGTATTTCAATGAGCCTAGGTCTTTTGTTTGGAATTGGCTATGAAGAAAATTCTTAAGGGCCAAAATACCTGCAGTATCACTTCCTGTAATCACAATATCATCGACATACACCACAAGCAATGTGATACCTGCTTTCGTTTTTCTGTAAAAGACAGAGTGATGTGATTGACCTTTTATCATTCCAAACCGTTCAATGGATTGACTGAATTTCCCAAACCATGCACGAGGACTCTGTTTCAGACCATAAAGAGATTTGCGAAGTCGACAAACTTTCCCATACTCCCCCTGAGCAACAAATCCCGGAGGTTGCTCAATATAAACTTCCTCCTGAAGGTCACCATGCAAGAATGCATTTTTAATGTCCAACTGGTGTAAGTGACAATCATGAGTTGCAGCGAGTGAGATAAGTAACCTGACAGATGTTAATTTAGCAACAGGAGAAAAAGTGTCAGAATAATCAACACCATAGGTTTGAGCATAACCCTTTGCAACCAATCGAGCTTTCAATCGAGCAACAGATCCATCTGGATTAACCTTAACAGCAAAGACCCACTTACATCCAATAGACTTCTTCCCTGAAGGCAAGTCTACCAAATCCCAAGTACCATTAAGATCCAAAGCATTCATTTCCTCTACCATGGCATGACGCCATTCAGGATGAGACAAAGCTTCTTTAACAGATTTGGGAACAGAAATAGAATCAATGGAAGCAACAAAAGAACATGAGGCAGGAGATAACTGATAACTGACTGTATGACACAAATGAGGAAATAGGATGAGTACAAGACCGTGTACCTTTACGTAGTGCTATCGGGAGGTCAAGATCAGATGTAGAGACAAGATCTGAAGAGGCAGGTACTGGTTCAGGACATGAGATCGAAGTCGGACCAGTATCAGGATATGTAATCACAGGTGTCACAGGTGGGGAGTGATCTTGTGCTTTGTGTCGACGGTGGAAGGGATGCCTGCTTCGGTTGGAGGTGCTACTGTGAATTTTGGACGAAGGTTCTGAGTTTGGTACTAAGTTTCTGATTTTTTTTTTCTTTTTTTTTCCTGGACTGTACCAAGGTTCTGAAAGATTCTGAAGAATCTGAAAAAAACTGAACTCAAGTTCCTGAAGAATCTGAAAACTGAAATTCCTGAAGAAAGAATTTGGCTGGGAAGAGGTTCTGGGAAAAGAAAAGTTTCTGGGAAGAGGTTCTGGGAAGAGTAGGAGGTTCTGAGATAGGAGGTTCTGGGAAGAGTAGGAGGTTCTGAGATAGGAGGTTCTTGGAGACAGAGTGCTGCCTCGAGGTTCTGAAGATTTTGGACTGAAATCTATTTCTAGGAGAAAGAACACAGTCTGAAAACTAAACTAAGATAACAAACTAAGCTGAAATCTGAAAATAAACTAAACTGGAATGGAAGGCTCTGATACCATGTTGAAATATGAACTAGAATGATAATAAAGATGGAGAGAAGGATTTTATGTGTATTTCATTGAAGGGTTAAGTCCCTATAAATATACATTACAAATAGAATATTCCTATACAAGATTCTATACAATAATAATATCCTAAAGTATATTCCTAGAATATTCTGAAGTATATTCTAATATTCTAAAGTATATTCTATATCTTTCACATCCTGCAAATGGAATTTAAGCGTAACACATTTCTTCTACGAGTATTACGGTCACCGTTATTTCCTAAAAACAAGATTCATTCACTCTTAAGGTTCAGAGTTTGGAACTCTAGTAGGTTCTATTTGTGAACATGGCCCATATTTTACTCCTATTTGCAGTAATTTATTTTTAAATAGAGAACCTCTAATTTATAATACAAAATAAAGCAATTGTAATAGGTCTACTTACTCCAAGTCTTTGCATTTCAAGTGACTTGCGCAATGCATCTCCTTTATTAAGAAGATTTTGAGGCGATGACTTTGGACGATTATAGTTCTTTCCACGATATAACAGTATGGCATGGCCTTCTTTAAGTTTATCAACAGAAACCAGAACCCCACCACTTTTAGCCTCAAGAAGTTCTGCAGTGTGAAGAACCTGGGAAAACGTTCTCTGCATGGTGATAACTTTTACTACTTCCCTGTGTTTCCAGTGTTGATGCAAGCCTTCCACCACACCATCAAAAACACCACGCCTTCCTGAAGGAAAGATTGAACAGAAGTAATAAATCATAAATGCTCAATTGTGAATAACGAGAACTATAATTGTATGCTTCGCGAGAGCATTTTAGAACTAGAAAAGTTACAATTTTTTAAATTTTTCCCTTTTAAGAATAGGCAATAACTTTGCGGTAGAAGTATCGATGATCCAAATAAGTGTTTTGGTCACCATTTGTCCTCTAAATAGTGTCAATGATGTTTTTGGCATCCGCCTTTGTTTTTATCTACTTTCCTTTCTCAGACTATACTTGACACGCAAACGTTTGGTAGCCGTAGTTGAATTTTCTACTTTTCATCCTCAAACCATAGCGACAGTAAGGTTTTTGGTACACCTCTTTGAGTTTTGCAACAACAATTAAAGGACCATAAGTGTCATTTCTACAATACTTACCCCCAGAATGAAAAGTGTGATTGGCACACTAGTCAGAGTACTAAAGTGAAAAAACTTATACTAAAAATGTCTCTGGTGCAACACTTAGAGGACTATACATCGGGAAAAATAAAATGCATGTACCAAAAATGTCATTGTAAGAATGGCACGGTGACTAAAAGCGAAAAAACATCCAATCGATGTTACATGTGAAAATAGTATATGGATCTAGGTTATATTTACCAAGGACCAAACTTTTGTCCATAGTTAGTCCTATGCTGCGCAGGCATTCCCTCTCTTCTTCTGTTATTATTTCCTTGTCTTCATCTAGCATTGAAGGTTTCCATGCAGAATCCAATTTCTCTAACACTTTTATTGATTTTTCTATCTTCTGTTTGAGCTGTGAAACCAATAAGAGAAAAACATTTCAATATTTACTCTTTAGTGGCCATAAAAAAAGGAAGCGCTGGAGAGGAAATATCTTACAATGAAGCGCTTCTGCTCTTGACTTCTCAGTTCTTTTTCCAATTTTGCCTTTTCAGACTCTGCCTGAATTTTCTTAACCTCATCAACTCTGCTTTCATCTTTTGCATAATCTGTGATATTCCGGAATTCAGATAATGTTCCAACTGTCTTGGCGTCAACTGCATCTTCATATGTTGCAGAAAAGAGTTCAGTTGTTTCTAGCCGAGCAAATTCTTCATGAAGTTGACGTCTCATAAGCGCTGCTTCTCTTTCAGCTACTAGTGTTGCTACTTGTGAAGGAAGAAAGTCCTTCCCCCGATATAGGATTATAATGAATTTATTGCGTAATAAAAGAACTCCTCCAGTTAGTCTCTGTAACAAAATAGGATGATTTTCATTCAGCACTCAGTAAAATTAAAAAAAAAAATTGAAGCCAGGGAAAAAAATTGTTATTGCAACTCAGGTGGCGTGTTTTAATCAATTCAGAAAGCATAAAAGTCTTGAAACTCATATTAGCGTTAGGAGTATTCAAATTCTCCTAAACATTTCTCATTTTGATCTTATCCCTTATCCAACGGCAGATGATAACTGGGTCTAAGACTCACCTTTTAAGGATTTTTTTGTGGTGAATTACACCCAAATTAATAAATAGAAAAACTGCTTTTTTAATCATGATTACCAAAAGGAGAGAACTTGCCTTGAGCTCCTCTGCCATCTGCTCATTGTCTGTGTTTGGGACTCCCCATTTCAAAGAAATTTTTGCTATATGACATTTCTCCCATAATTTAAGTACTGCATTCGCTAAACCTTGGAGTTTCCTGTTTCTCCCTGAGGTTACATGTCACAGAAATAGTTAGACTCGAATGATAGGGAACTGAACAATTTTCTGTATATTACATCTGGAAATAGGAGTCCTGAAGCTCTTACAATGGCAGATTAACGTAAATGACATACAAAGCAGGAAGAACGGAAAGAAGGAGAAGAACAGTTGAGACACTTCGAGTAGTCTCACACTCCCAGTTCTCAGGCCAATCCCAATTTCTGCCTACCCCTTTCCCCCTTACTTGCGCTTATTATAATACTCTCCCAATGGGCAGGCCCTAATCCACTAAATTACTGGACCTAAAACCCTGTTATTGTACAGTATTAAGCTACCTAATAAGAGAAGTGCCGGGTTCTATCATCACTCCTCCATTTAACTACACCTTGTCCTCAAGGTGGGTAGTAAGAAACTGATCTGGCCTTCGGTTTCAGCGGATTATCTGCAACATCCAGTTCAGACTGCTGATCACTTGTTCCCTTTTCTTCTTCTGGATTTTCTATCAAGACAAATTGATAATGTTTCATTCCACAAACATGCTCTTTGCTCCATTTGTTTCCACATTTGAAGCATATGCCTTTTTTACTTCTTTCTTCTATCTCTACTTGTGTCAACCACTCAACCTTTGGCCTCCCTCCCATGCCTTATTCGGTTCTGGTAATTCCTCCAGCTTGTTCTCTCAATGTGTTCTCTCAGGAGTCCATGACTGAATAGGAGGTGTTCTTCCATTCGGTGCTTCCACCCAGTTCAAATGCCTGACCATAGTCCCTCCCTGTTCTTTCCAGCACTTTTTGTCTTCTTCCTTATGTATCCCTGATCTCAAAGCAGTGTTTTTCTCTTCTAACAGCAGAGCTTGATCCATTAATTCAGATAGAGAAGCGGATGGATAAAGTTTCAGTTCAGCTCTCACCTCATCCTTCAAGCTGTTCAAAAAAAAATCCCCACAGCATCAGTGTGTCTCAGCAGTGTGACTACCAGTTAAAATCTCTCCCTTTACGCTTCCAGATTGCTTGACGTTGAGCATAAGTCCAAACGGATTTTGAACTAATTCCAGTTGGAAGTTGGAACCTTCTGATTCTGGCTGCTTTGAACTGTTCCCACAGTCCGTTCATCATTTTGTCCTTCCCACCATTGGTACCAGTTTAATGCTTTGTCCTCCATGACAATGGTTACCAACTCCATCTTATCTTCTTCTGGTATGTTATTCAACTTGAAAAACTTTTCTACCCTGATGGTCCACCCATAAGGAAGATCAATCTTCCTTCGCGTGCGAACATTCTGTTCGCACTGGTTTCACGCCGAAAAGAGATGGATCGCAAGGTATCAGATTACCTCCGGAGTTCGACAAAGCTACAGAGCTATGAGACTTACCACTGCAGCGCGACAAACTCTTGCTGTTCGACGGCGACTGCTTCTACGAGTATCGTGATCACCCCCTGGATCACATGTGACCAAGATTGAGTAAGAGTTGATGCATATCCTCCATCTTTGATCGTATTCCATCCATATCCGATCGTATTCCATCCATATCCGCTCGCATCTCTTCCAGTTTTTGTTCCATGCATCCACCATACCCCAGGAAATGGTGCTCTGATACCAATGATAGGGAACAGAACAATTTTCTGTATAGTACCCCAGGAAATGGTGCTCTGATACCAATGATAGGGAACAGAACAATTTTCTGTATAGGAGTCCTGCAGCTATTACAATGGCAGAGGAATGTAAATGACGTACAAAGCAGGAAGAATGGAAAGAAGGAATAGAACCGTTGAGACACTTCAAGTAGTCTCGCACTCCCAGTTCCCAGTCCAATCCCAATTTCTGCCTACGCTTTTTCCCCTTACTTGCGCTTATTATAATACTCCTAATGGGCTACTTAATATTGGTCGTAAAATCCTCTTATTGTATAATACTAAGCTACTTAATAAGAGAAGGGCCGGGTCCCTATCATTGAATAAGAGGTGCATGGTAACATGATTGTAGAAGAGTACGATGCCACAATGTAGTCCACAAGTGCATCCAAGCAAGATTGAAATAAATATCAAATTTGACCGAATTTACCCCAAAACGATACTCCCTCCTCCCCACTTTACATGTCCTACTTTCCTTTTTGGGTCCCAAAATAAGCATCACATTTCTTTTTTGAAAAGAAATATGTGGTCTACAACATTTCACTTTATTATAGTCAAATTTCAATCACAACGTTTACTTTTTCAACCACGTTATTAATAATTGTGTCAAATCAAAGTAGGACACATAAAATGGGACAAAGGTAGTACTAAAGAGGTGAAGTCTAATGGGCACTTATATATAATCTCGTAAACATCTTATTTGGGACACTGAACAGTCCCCTTCAGCCCAATACGGGTTGGACAATTTTAGGAGTGCATCATTGGGCTAAACCGGCTCCATACGAGCTACCCCAAACTATGGGGGCAAACAAACAACTAAAAATAATAATAGGAGCATACTCTAATAACAATATTAGATGTGAATCTAGTAAAAATATGTCGACACTCAACTATTACTAAAAGTTCACAAAACACTCTAAGGGCCTGTTTATTTTTTTCTATCAAGTGCATGTTGGGTAGGAATAAGTTTCTACCTTCTAACTTTTGTTTTATTTAAAAAGTCTATAAAAGTTTCTAGTTGAATGTTTGGCATGCCAATTATTACGAGTTTTTTTAAAAATAAAAATTCTTTTTTTAGATGTTATAGTGAGTAAATCTAAAGAAAAGTTTGTAGCTTTTAGCATTAATTAGTCCCAAGAGCTTGCATGTCAAACAGAGCTAAATCAAACAATTAGTTTTTTATCAAACAGTTAGCTTAAGATCTTTTCAGTTACTAAAAAGTCATAAAAGTATATTTCCAGCTAGTTGTGCCAAACATACCTTAAGTCATGTATGGATTAAGATGTGTGTCTCGGTTAAGATGTTTGTCTGGATTGTGATATTTGTATATGAGGTTGTTTATTTTGGGTGCTGAATAAACCGTTTGAATTGAGTAAAATAATCAATTTAGTATTATTCTTAGATTATAATGTCGATGAGAAATTTCATTTATTAACATAAGTTTATTCCACAATTGATTTAAAAAAATTGACAGAAAATAAGTCTTAATAGACGTCTTAATGTCAAGGACTACGATTTTCTAGCTTCATGATTAAGTCAGATTTTTTATTGAATGATTAAGTCATGTTTTCAATTAAGTTGCAAGTAACATGACTTAATGACTGAATGATTAAGTCGTTTTTCTCATTAAGTCCATCAAGTCGAAAGTAAACAGCCCCTAAGGTTGACATGACACATTTTATCAAAGAAGATGAAATACCAAGAACAAAATGAGTGGGCAAAGGACGAGCAAGCTTCCTCAAGTATGTAAGCTCATGATTCATCAGCTTTGGTCTAAGAAATGGAGGGCAACGCCTGAATGGGGTCTTGAATCCAGGAACCACTTCAGGAAGCAAGTCAGCATCGACTGGTAAAGGCTTTGGGTACCACCAGTCAACAAACCGAGGTCCTAAACTATCCAACAATCTATCAGCTTCTCGTTGATAGAGTGATCCATCTATAGATAGACGCCCCTCTTCTTCAGATTCAACTCTCCACATTTGATCAATGCCACTTTGTTCTGAGTTTTTTTGAGATACAGACTTTATGCAATGGGAACTGGTACTTAATGTAGAATCGCGTCCATGATCAACAAGTTTGGGATGCATCTGTGAAGAACTGTTCAACCCTAGCCGATAGTTATGCCCTCTATAAACAACAAGGGCATCTTTCTTACTCATGACGACAAATCCTCCAGTTTTAATCTGTTCATGTTTTTTAAGAAATAACAAACAAAAATAAGCAGAAGAAAAATAAAGGATATTGTTAGATAGATATTGTGCTACATTGTTTGAAAATGAGCTGCAAACGGAGGAGTTTATCATTTCATACAGAAATATAGAATCCGTTTTGTTCGGAGCTAGTTCAAACTACATTTTTTCAACAAAAGAATAAAAAATAAGCAGAATAATTAGCTTGTGACTGGTTTGGCATAATCAGTTCTGACGATTCACGAGATTTAGCTCAAAGGTGCTCATATACTTGCTTTTGTAATATGGAATAACATGTACAAAAAAACTATGTACATATGAAGTCATATATTATCATCAAATCTTAATATGATATCATAATCCAATAAGAAGATAGAACGACCAATCTAATCTAACTAAGACACAAAACAAACATGTGTATGTCAAAATTGGTTTGCTCCAAAGAACAAACACCCTGTGTGTCACCCTCTTGTGCGTCATATTAAGTTATATTAATATATCGAAGAGAATAAATGCAAGTGAAATAGATTGCTAATGAAGAAGTACAACCTCAACAATTTCTTTAGCCCGGACCATATTACGACATAAAGGCACATCGAACTTGAGCATGGCAAGTTCGTCTGTCCTCCAAATACAGTGAACTCTATCAACAACGGCTTGAGTCACCCCAGCCTTCTTAACCTTCACCCATTGCCTCATCCTTGCAGCCATATCCGTCAGCCTCTCAAGTAACTCTGTACCAAGGCCCATCTCATCTGCCATCATTACCTTTTCCTTCTTCGTTCTCTTAATAATCCCAATTGCCTGCTCTCTCTTCCAGGGCATTCTGCTACTCCCTTTCCCTTCTCCACTCTCCCCAAATGAAAATCCCAAGCGAGTCTTCTCCAATGCTTCAGGAATAACATCCACGTTCTCGTCTACTCCCGCCCTAAGGGGAGAATCTTTATTATCACTATTATCTCCCAGCAAAACTAGGGGCGAAAATTTGAACGTTCCATTCTCTCCCGTTGTCGCATTCTCTGCTTCCAAATGAAGAGTTTCTTGAAGCTTATTAATACCTAGAAAGATTTTCTTCATCGCTCTCTTGGACCTTCCTCCACCCTCCTTCCTCGTCAATTCACTGTCAGAAGTTTCATTTTCAGCCAAGGAGGCGGTGCCTTTCTTTCTTCTTCTTCTTTTGGAGAAATGCAAGACATGTTTGGGTTCAACAAGAAGAGGACCATTCATCCATGGAGCCGTAGGGGCTTTGATAGTGGAGCTTGAACGCTCAATTTCTTGCGGTTTATTATCTTCGATGACACCCTTGCAAACGATTTTAGCTCTTTGCTGGTTGGAGTGGATAATTGGTTGACGGTTCAAAACAGCATGACTACTGAAGGGAAAAGAAATATTTGCAGACATGGAATACTGAAGGGAGGATATGTTAAAGAATAGATACACAGCCTTTCCAGAATTGCAACTCTCACAATCGAAATGATGCAGAACAAGAGGTCGCAGCGAGATCGCCGGGAGGTAGACGCTGAAAGAAGGATTCTCCAGCTAGGTCTTTAGTAATCACTATTCATCAAGTTGTATATTGAAACGGACCGCATTCACCTTGTCTTTTAGCTTGTTCATCATTTTCTTCCTAAAATGCATAACTTTTAATTTTCGGGAGGAAAATGCTCCTCTATCAGGAATTGTTAATGAAAGAGTGTTTTTGTTTGTTCACATAGGGTTGGGGTGCAGATACAAAAAAATTTAGAAATGGGATGCAAAGTCCAATTTCGACAATTAAATAGGGTGCAAACTCAAATTAGTATGGTTGCATATATTTTTCTGCCTGAAATTACGGTAGAGGATCATTTTAACTATTTTCATATAATTTTTTCTTTACGTTATTAATGAAATAAATTTTAAATATTATTTGTTTCTTAGAGTAAACCACATCACATCTAATAATAAAAAATTATAAACACGAATAGAGGTGAGGGTATAACGGGTACATGAAAAGTGTTGGTGTAACTTGATTGCTTTATGAGGCGGTACTCTTTCATAGAAGCATTGTATGGAGTAACTCACGGTGCACAGTTCAATTTATTCCTATCTACGGCGTTAACGTGGTTTACGGAGTAACTCACGGTGCACAGTTTCATATTGATCGAAGGTGATTGATTTTCCATACAACTTGTAATTGGGGAGCTTAACAGGCATCTACCAGTACTATCTTCTCTGGTGGTCCAAGTAGGTCAAGCTTCTTATAGAGCACTGCAAGATCGGAGTATCGGACTAAGATGCACGACGGAGAAGCGCCGGAATTTGCAGCTTCTTCGGTGGTCCAAATGGGTCAAGCGCCTCTTATAGAGCACTCCAAGGCTGAGATACAAGACGGCGAGGCGACGGAATTTGCAGCGGCTCATGCTAGAATATTTGATGTATGAGCTCGATCAATATCAACGAGATCTGGTAAAAAAAATAGCAGCTGATATTTTTTTTTTGCTTAATTTCTAAGACTCAATACAAGCAATCATTTATTGGGAACTTAAGATGTGGATTGATCGGTGTGTGTTAAGACTCGGGGTTCCATCATAAAAGGTCAACCTGATAGGAGGAGTAGCCCATGTTTTAATATAGCATTTAGTTCATCCAAACTTTTCCGGTGTGAGACATTTAACACCTCTCCTCACGACCAGACACTTCGTCTGGATCGTGTCATCATTCATTTTTTTTATCGGTCCATTTTTTCATCCGGCCGTAATTGTCTTTCTTTTTATAATCATTTTCATAAGGGCCCCACACCATGGATCGATTTGGCTCTGATACCATGTTAAGACCCGGGTTCCATCCTAAAAGATCAACCTGATAGGAGGAGTAGCCCATATTTTAATATAGCATTTAGTTCATCCAAACTTTTCCGGGGTGGGACATTTAACAGTACTTAAATTGAATTCAAATCTGGAATCAAATTATGATTTCTGTTTTTATCGCTTTGATGCATTCGATTTTCTTAGCATGATGTTCTTCAATTTGTCAAATTGTTTATGCCTTTTTAAATTTTGGTTTACACATGTATTTTTTGGAGTTCTGTGTTTACGTGTTTTATTTTGGGGTAATTTGAGGAGCATAATGTATTTTTGAAAACTAAGAACATCTTATACTTTTCCATTACATTCATGCTTTTATTAACTCTTTACTAGAAAAATTTATAATGGCCCATTATAAATACGAAGTATAAATATACATATTTGTACTCCCCATATGTACCTATTTTACTACATTTGTCTATGCTCCTCTTCATCGTCCTGCCTTCATCTTACACTTTTACTACATTTGTCTTTCCCACTTGATCACTTATGTACGTCCGTTCAAACTTACATTCAATTACTTTTAGGGGCTGTTTACTTTTTTTACTATTAAGTCCTACCTGGATTAAGATGTCGGTCTGTATTAAGATGTATGTCTGGATTAAGTGACACAGGAATAACAAGCTGTTTACTATGTGTGCTGAATGTGTAGTCTGAATTACTTTAAATGACTAGTTTACTCTTTTGTCTAGAACAAGTGTTGAACATATCTGGAATAACAAGCTGTTTATCAATATTTATCACAATTGTCTCCAGAGATTGATCCTCTACACTGCTATTGAAAATATTTATCAATACAATCAACACCTCAAAATACTATATATATATATATATATATATATATATGTATGTATGTATGTATGTATGTATGTATGTATGTATGTATGTATGTATGTATGTATGTATTAGCTTCAAAGAACGTCACAATTCATTTGTTAAACATGGTCAATTATTGTTAGGGATCCGATTTATATAAATTAAATACTGCAAAAGTAAAATAACGCATTTATGGAGCACAGAGTTCTTATGACGGATAGCAGAGCATAAAGAAGATATACAAATATGATGCAAAACTTATCTTGAAGTAAAATGATGAAAAACAACTCTATTTTGGTATAAAAATTAAAAAAAAAATAGAAAATACACAATCGATGAAATAAACAAGAGAAATACCTGAGAATGGTCTCAAAACGGAGGAAATTGATATATTTGCTTGGAGAGGGAGATAATCGATAGTGCGTCCATCGTTGGAGAAGCTGTTCAAACTTCAAAGGGCAAATAAGCACGATTATCTCCAGGGTTACAAGCGCGAAAGATGTCCATTCCCTGTCTGAAGCGGAAGGAGTGATATTTTTACACTGAACGAATAAGTCCTATTTCTGATTAAGTCCCAAGTAAACACAATTGAATGACTGAGCGATTAAGTTGACATATCCATTAAGTCCATTAAGTCACAAGTAAACAACCCCTTAGTTTTGTTGTCTTTGCATCGGATAACAACATGTGTTGTGGATGAGATTAACAAAATATCTTTGGCCGTGTGTTTTGTTTTGGTGCCCAGAGTAGTAAAAAGCATACTACATAACAGGTAATTTGATTCTTGTCTAAAGAGATCGTGTGGTCAAATTAATAGTGTTTAACAAGCTTAAGAGAAGCAATGTGCTATTTTAACAATTCTTTCTGTTGCTGCACGTTTTACTTGTGCATAATTCGATTTGGACAAAATTTTCTTTCCTTTTTTTAGAATGAACAAAAAATTTCTTTTTAAGATACTACGTATTAGCTAATACTCTGCAAACAAACCTTAATGAACTATATATAGAGCTCATTTGGTAGCATGAAAATCGGATGTTTTGGCTGAAATTTATGATGTTCTGGTTGAAGTACCTGCATTGGCTGATTCTGCTTATTTAAGAAAACAATATTTTTAAAATATATTTGATTAATAAAATAAAGAAAAAATTATATGTAAAAATAGCTAAAATATTTAAAATAGGCTTATTTGATGCGTGTATTTTTAGAGGGAATGCCCTCTAGAAGAGGTTTTGGTCTAGTCCCCCTCTTCGTCCTGTATCTTCTTCGATTATTAATAAAACTAGGCAAATGTTCCCCGGCATTTGCCCCACCGATGGGTGGTTTACCTTCCGGGTTAAAAAAAAAACAGTAACTTCAGCCGATACAGCCAGAAAAGTAACTCTGACCTTACTTTTCTGCTTATTACACAATTCAGCGCGGGAAAGTAAAAGTTACGTGTTTGGTAAAAAAGTTGGCTGATAAGCCTGATTAGCCGAAAAACAGGGTTGCCAAACGGCCTCATAGTTATTTGCATATTGCATTTCTTACCTATAACAAAGTATGGGCACAACTGTGATGATTATTAATTTACAGACTTTTTCTGAAAAAAAGATTCATTTATTAAATCTCGTTTTAGCGAACAAATTAAGTATAACAAGACCTAGACAATAATTAAATAAGTTAAGTTGAGTATATTATGAGAAATAGTTTTCATGGGTATATAATATTTTATATATTTTTGTAGGGGTATATCACGTAGGGGGTGATAATCGAGTACTTGGATTGCTTAAGGATCGTGTAAGTTCACTTTCCGAATTGATATTTCTCCCCTATGCCTGGGTTACAAGAAATTCAATCTAGGATAATCCTTAAGGACACTCTAGAACTTAGGCACAAGAATTAGAGCCAAACTAGTCGAGTATATGGATTGTTATCTTTAATTTGAGTGTCAAAGTGATGAAGATATGTTGGATCTTGATCCTCCATCTCCTCTGTACGAAATATGGTGATATATATCCATATTCACCGTTCTAGGCAATTGTAACACGATTAAGAATAACCGCAACAGTTTTTGGGAAACTGCCTAACCGTTCTAGAACTCGGTCTAGAACCACAGAGCTGGTCTACTGAAAGTTATACCTCGAGTTCCACTAACGTAGACACTTTGAAACTAAACTAGTTCTTATATACAAGTGTGCACTCCACACTTACTAACTTGTATTAGATCATAGTTCTAATTCCCATTGGCACTCATGTCATTTCCAATTACACAAAACGGCCGGTGACACTAAAATCACCAACAATCCTCCCCCATTTTAGTGTAACCCATGAAATGACATAACAAAGTTTACAAACCAAAACTTGCACATAAATGGAAACGTCGATACGATTGAATTTCCATCTTAGTATTTCACACATTCAAAATATTCGAGAATCGGGGTGTCCTACAGATTGAACCCTTCAACCCATTTGAATACCTCAAGATAAAATACATACAAGTTTCTATACTCAACTAGAATACAAACTTGACACAATTATAAAGTTGTGTGTCCTAATCCCATTCATGACCGTATAAAAGCCAAGTCCCAAGCTTTTTGAAGTGCGGCTACACTTCACGATCATATAGGTAATTCCTTTACTCGTGTACCTGCTTACACTTTATCAAAGGAATTATTAAGAAATAAATTCAGCCTCCCTACTACAGGTCCGAACACACACCTTCGGATGATTTTCATTGTATGTTCCAATCCATTAAGTGTGAGCTTTCCGCATTGAATTCAGCCTCTAACGTTGTATTAGAGGGAAATTGGGTGTCTCACCATTAAGGATTAAATGGACTTGTAAACCCATCCCTATAACAGACTTGTGCACTAAGTCCCGGGCCAAACTTTTGGTCAAGTGGTCCGCCAAGTTATGTTGCGATCTTACAAATTCCACCAAAATTACACCATCATGATTAGTTCTCTAATCATACTATGTCTAACACCTAAGTGTCTAGACTTGCCATTATAAACATGACTATACGCCTT